TTTTAAAAATTTAGTTTTGGGATATTTCATTCAAAGGATCTTCCATGAAAAAATTAATAATTAAACACAAAAATAAAAAGAAAACAAAACAAGTTTATTTAAAATTTATTATTTTGGAAATTTTATTTTATTTATTTACTTTTTTTTTGGTTTTAACAATTTTGAACAAGTTTCTTTTTTTGGGAGGAATTTTAAAATAATACAACAAATAACAATTATTTTTTCACTAATTATATAATATTATACTTCATATTTAATTTTTTTAATTTGGAATTTTGTATTAACAACTTATTAGGAAATGATACAAAACAAAAATGAAAACAACATTAAACCAATTTAATGAGAACGAATTGCATCCATGTGGAAGACCCTTTCTGCAAGGGAATTTTTGTTAAGTGTAAGTAAATATTTTTATTATTAATAATAAATTAAGCTACGTGACTATTTGAAACACTTAACGATTTTAACATAAAGCTGCAGGTTATAAAAAACAACGATTTTATATGTTTAGTTTTTCCAATTTGTATGGAGTCCATTTTACAGAGAAGTGACCACGATGTTCCTCAGACGTGATTTTATACCGTTATTTATTTAAAGAAATTAACAGAAAGTGTTATACATATGCATGTGTATATGTTTTATTAAAACACGACATAATTACGTCGATCTTAAAGGTGTAATCATAACTGGTACAGGGTGATTACAAATTGACAAAAATTTAGTATTAAATTGTTGTCATTTTGGAAACAGATAGCGTTTTCGGTTATAAAAAAATCAGACACTACAAACCCCGTTCTGAAAATTACTATTCTGGTGTGAAGACAAATGTCGAACTTGGCATGTTTTACTTCGCAATTATAATCTCGCAACAATAAATTCCAAATAAATACAAATTATCCCAACGAAATTTGTACGTCGAATGACCCTGGAGGGTACGTAGTATTTCCCTGGCTTCCCTTTATATTGCAACTTCCATATATACCTCATCCCGCAAGTGAAATAAGAACATTAAGTTCGCCCGTATATTGAATTTAGAAACAGGTAGCTCCCCAATGCGTTTCGTTTTGTTCATCTGAGGAATAAAGCAATAGGCCAGTTAGTGGTTAGCTATGAGGCGTAAGATTTGTTTGAGAAGATAAGTAATATGCAGTGAGAGATATTTCTGAGCAGAACGCGGTCTAAAAACTTGGAACAAGGCGTCTTCTCATGACACCAGTGGAATATCGTCATGAGCAGACGAATATTATACTCTGACCTGATTGGTTGTTATTGCCCTGTTCTTCATGATCTATAAAGAGGGAAGGGCCTAAAGCTCTAATGCACAAAATGGTACGATAGCGGTGATGGCCAAACACGTATTCTCTTTGTTTCTCTTTTAGTCAGACATTTTTAATGATTATCTCCCACTTACGCTCTCACAAACTTATTCTCAATTTAGTTCTGTTCAACTCTGGCATAAAGGTACAAGCGTGAATTTCTCGATTATAGGCCTACCAGAAAAGTCTATATCGCCGTATATATGAAGAGAAACACCTGTAAATATAAACACGTATAAATGAGACGATACGTGATCCCGTTGCAATCAGTTTTTAAGTTTGTATTCTTGGTAACGACAGTATTCCAACAGAGTCTGGTTTCTTCGTGGGCGCCTCAACGACCTTGTCGTGATAAGGAGGTTATGCCAAGGTAATATCCACCTCCAATAATTCCATGACATATGGATTCTGAAACAAAATTCCAAAAAATTAACAATTCCTCAACTATGCTAGATGTGGTCGCCTTGGCACCATCAGTCATAATCGTCACAAGATCAGACACCCCAAAATTTATTCAGACTCGAAACAACGAAAATATCGTGGAGTCCAACACAAGCCAGCATAATAAAATAGTGGGGGGAAGGATTATGTGCTCAACAGAACTTCTAGACAGCCTAGTTGATAATATGGATTTTTCCGTCGGAGGAAAGCATTCCTCGATTGTTATCGGCAGGTAAGTCCTAAGCACGAGTGGAAATTCCTTTTAACGAATGCAGCGGCTTGTGAATACCAAAGATGCACTGGACAGGGAGGCATGTCGAAGGGCTATCGAATATGTGGATAAAAACCCCATCTCTATGACCGATATTTTTACGAATTCGGAAGCACTTGGAGGTAGTGAGGATGTGCGAATAAGACTGTGTGCGAATAATAAAATTGTGGGGGGAAGAATTCTGTGCTCAACAGAACTCCTAGTCAGCCTAGTTGATAATATGGATTTTTCCGTCGGACGAAAGCATTCCTCGATTGTTATCGGTAAGTAAGTCCAAAGCACGAGTGGAAATCCCTTTAACGAATGCAGCGGCTTGTAAATGTCGAAGGGCTACATTTCTGCGAACAGTGTAACCATCTTTCTCTCGTCAGCTGCAGATCTTCGGTTTTTACAATTTAGTGGGAATAAGAAGTCTTACGAATTCCTTATTAAGGTAGTGGAATCTCATTTTTATGGCTGGGATTACACAAGATTTTATAAAATTGATGCTCCCACTGAAGGCATCATATCGAAAGTTGCAGAGAAACGCCTCAAGAAACTATTCAAAAACATTGAGCTCCATGGGAATTATTATGTGAAATCCTACATGTCAGAGCATGACTCCATTGCTGACCTATCAGAATAAAATAACATATGGAGAAAGGGACAGTCCGCAATTTCCAAGTGAATTTTCGGAATACCAACCGAAACCAAAGAGAGTTTTGTTTGCTACCAACCATAAGTGACTGAAAAAAGATTCCATTGAAATTTAGATAATCTAGTGAGTTGACCCAAGCCATTACCTTTAAAGGAAGCTCAAGCACCTGTCGTTTTCATTACTCACGTCGCCGAAAGAAATAAAATTCTTTGGCGGATTCTGTCCGCCGGGAGCTTATCCTAGCAATCCGAGGACATTGAATATATACAGCATAAAATACTTGTCGTCAATCGATAGGCGACCCTAAAAAGTTTAAAAGGAGAGCTACAATCATCGCTACGTACATTAGAAACCTACGTGGGTTTCCCGTGGCACTGAGAACCACGAATCCCACACAAAATACTAGGTGTGCTTCGTTTGCAACATGCCATGACTATACATAAATGATTTAAAAAATCCAATTCTAGTGAAATCTTGTGAGTTGTCTAAAGTCGTTAGTTGTACACGGCGGGGAAAACACTTTGTGAAATTAACACCGTTCTTTGTCGATTTTTCATCATGCGTTGTCACTTTAGTTTTGACAACACTTGTCGTCAGTTTGTCAACAGGTTTTTACAATTCTTAGTATTTGACCACGATACATTGTCATGTTTAATAATATGACAACGAACGTTGTCAACTTGTATTTATATATGTTCAAATCAGCAACAACACGTGTCAATCGAATGCATTTTATTTATTGTTATCTTGATTCTGAATTTTATTATTTCCTTTAATAAAATATGTTCGAAATAAATAGAAATATATATTTTTATTGACATTCTGAGAACAAAAAAAAAAAAAAAAAAAAAGAATGGAACGGTATGGATATTTCAAAATTTGCACTAAAGAATGCTCATTCGGCACCACTATGGTGACTAGTTCTGACCACAGATGGTGTCAATTTGTACACCTTTGTTAAAATCTCGGTATCAAATTGACAACGCAGTGTTCAAGCTGACCACAAAGGGTGTTGCTACATATTGACACCGGATGTTTTCTCTGGGTATACAGGGTGAGACCGCCATATCCATCATACCATGAAACGTTAGCGGTACCGGCAACAAGTACCAACGATAACTCTTTTCGTTTTCGTATTCACGTCGCTGAATGAAATATATTTCTGTGGAGGAAATGTTGTCGTTACTGTCGTCAAATACTTCTTTTATGTCGTCATAGGTTATCATCGAAAAGCTAATACAGTATTGGATTGGTCAAATCTACAGAAATCTTGTCTATAGAGAACTTCTATAATAGAATATTTTACATAGAGGAGCTTCTTTCAGTACTCAGTTAGTCGTACTTCTAAATTTGTTCTTTGGACTTTTTATATGTCTTCTATGGAAAATTATTATTTGCAACGAAAAAAAAATTATCACTTCTCCAAATCCAAACCTTATAAAATCGTTGTTTTTCTGTCTTTTCTATTCTTAAGAATCGGAATACTGGTTATTATTTTTTTCATTTAATATTTCATAGATTAAGCTTAGCACAATTGACCGTTTTAGATATTAATTACATTTTTTTTTGGAAATATTATTTTGTTGTTGTTGTTGTTCTCTATTTTTTCATAATTAAGCGAAGCAATGAAGCGAGTTGTTGAAGCTGCGCGCTGTAACGCTCAATATCATTAATTAGCACACCAATGGAAAAAAATCAAAGCAAAAGGTTTGAAATGAAAATCATTTTTTCACTTTTTCTTTCTAGAAGTGAAATGGCAAGCAATATTATAAAAATGTTCTTTTGTTGTTGTTGTTTTTCATCATCTTTGTTTTTGTTGTTGCTGTTGTTTTTGAAGAACAAGTCGATCGCCATGTAGCAACGATCGAACAAGTCTCGATTATTGGTAAACGGAATCATAATTTCTTTTAGTGTAATTTTGATGAGTGGGTGTGTTGTGTTCGCTGGATGAGAGGGGTGAGGTGAGCGTTTCCAATGTGGTCTCCAGTTGATGGTGTTGATGATGATGGTGGTGGTGTTGTTGTTGGTGATGATGATGTTGTGTGGGATGAGAAGGCGCATGCGTGTGTATTGAATTGTGGTGGGGATGAGTGTTCGGTGTTGCTGTTGTAGTTGTTGTTGATAACATTCCTGAGGATTTTTGTTGTTGGTGTTGCTGTTGTTGTTGTTTACTGAGTGTTGTTGCTGTGGTATTTGTGGTGGTAGTAGTTGTAGTGTTGCTGTGAATTGTTGTCGATGTTGTTGTTACTGCTGAGTGTGTATTAAGTTGTTGTTGATGGTGTTGTTGTTTTTGCTGCTGCTGTAGTTGTTGTTGTTGCTGTTGTAATTGTGTCAGTGTTGGCAGTGGCGGTGGATTTTTAGCTTTTGTTAGTGGTATTGGTGTTGGCATTGGTTTTGGCGTTGTCGTTAAATCGATACCCCATTCATAGAGGAACTCCAGTTTCTGTTGTTCCAGGGGATCATCACTGGTTGTAGCCGGCAGGGCAAGCAAATGTTAGGCTTCTAGAAATATTAAAGCAGTTGGTTTGGGTTCCAAATTCGATTTTTTCGCTTCGACAACCAAAAAGGTTATATCAGCCTTTTCACGATTTGCAAAACATTCGGCTATCAGTCGGGCAACTTCCTAAAAAGTTGATGAAGTTTTTTTTTGTTGTAAAATGTTAGATGATTTGTTTTATGGGTAAAGGGGTATGGTTTTCGAAATGTTCTACTTACCTGATGATGTAAGCCTTCGACTTTATTACCATCCACCTCGAGTATTAGCTGCCCCACCTCTAGGCCGCCCGCTTCAAATGCTGCTCCATTTTCCTAAAGGAGAAGAGAGAGAGGAAGCAAATATTAGATTTTAGAATGGGGATCATTTTTAAGACTTAAACGTCACAAGAACAAACAACCAAATGCATTACTCTGACTCTTGACCCTTAATACAAATGAACTTAGACACTGAAGGGGACGACTTTTCTACTGTTCTAAGAGACATCAACGAGAACATCACTTGGATATGAAAATGAAGTTCCCGCTGAAAACAATGGTCGATTGAGAGCAGATTCCGAACACCAATTACCCCAAGATATTGGTTAATTACGCGGCGCCAGTGTGGTTTGCGAATATAAGTGATACGCAGTGGAAAAATGTACAGACCTACCAGAGAACTATAACTATATAACAGGGTGTCTCCTTATGACACCAGCGGACTATATACATGAGGAAAAAAGATGGACACTATCAAATGTTATCAATGCAGTATCTGCTTGGGTGTTATCGTCGGGAACACCGCTGACATATGCTTATGGACAGGCTTCCTCCACCCAGGTACGTCAGGAGATATCTACATAGAGAGGTTAGAAAGTACAAGCGTGAGCCACTAGATCAACAGGCTTATAAGGCAGTCCTGAATAGCCTTTATACATATGCAGTCACCGTGTGAATGCTATACTCGGATATCATTCACCATCCATAGCAAAAGAGGAAAAACAGCTGCCTAGGCAGACAAGAGCAGTCTTAGTACAGCTAAGATCAGAATAGTGTAACGATTTCACGAATTGACGGCACGATACCTAACACATCGATCACACGATTCGTTGCACCTCTGCACCTTCTTGCCCAGCTAAGCATACTCACCTGTCTCCGAATTAACTTTAGACGCAGACAATACAGGTTACAACCTTTCTGAATTTGGACACAGAGGAGTCAAAACCAACCAACACTTAATGGATTCCCTTTCTTGCATTTTAGTTGGTACAACAACAACAATTTCAATGGAGCCATTCTAAAGGAAACCAAAAACTCCTCAAATCTTTTGGCAGTTAAGAGGATGAAATATAGAAGTCAGTGCTGCAGTCAGTTGATCTTTCTGTCCAAAGAAGCACTGGGCATGAATGTACATATATCGGAGGGTAATTTGTTTCTGCCGAAGTTATGTTGACCAAGACCGGAATTCAACCAGCGATAAGGATTTCTTTAGGATTAGGAACACCTAATGAGGTACGACAAGCAGTACCCTCACAAGGTCACATGGAAACTCCAAGTCGACAGAATTCCCACCACGCATACAATAGTTCTCTACCAATATGATGACTTAGGACTCCCTCCTTATAGATACAAAACTTGCAGTTGAAGTGATAATAATTCAGGCTGAGCTTTCGCGCATCCACATCGACTACAGTGGAACTGTCTCGCCGGAAACCAAATCCCTTTAAAGCCTTTGATAATAAAGAGGATGAGATCGACAGAGGAGGGCCCTGCTGCATGGAGGCTTAAGGTATATCAGAGTGCAATTTGTTACTGTGTCGACCAAGACCTAAACTCGGCGTGAAGGAATTCCCTCGGATTAGCAAACTCCTAAGGAAGTACGAAAGGTCTCAAAGTCTCAAAGGCTACTAGGGAACTTCTGTTCGACAGAATTTACACCTTGCGTACGGTAACCACTCATATAAAGCCCTCTACCAACATGGTGGCTAATGATACCCTAATGATAAATTCGAAATCAATCAACGAGAAGGAACTCCCAAGGATTAGCAAACTCCGAAGGAAGTACAAAAGGGACTAATGTACAAGGTCACTGCGGAACTTCTAGTCGATAAAATGTCCACCTTGCGTACGGCGACGGGTCTTTACAAGCAGTACATATACCAGCTAAAAGAAGTAAGAAGTCAGGCTTAGTGTTCGCAGTAACCTCCGCGACTTAAGATGAGCTATTCCGAGAAAAACCAAAAACATATGACAATAATGAGGATAATCAGCAACCTATAAGCAAAGCCTATAAGCCATCGTTGCTGAAAACAGGTGAACTTTCTGTCTTGGTGACATCGGAAACGGAACGAACCTGGTTATTTGACCCGGATGTTCGGTACCGGTACTCGGTTCTACGGATCCGGTTAAAATAAAATGGGAATAATTTTAAAGCTTATAAAAATTGAGTGGTCATATTATGGGGTTATCTAAAACCGTTTTGGAGATACAGTCAAAAAACAGGGTTTTGGACCCCGATTTTTTTTAACTACCTAAAAGTCTAGCTTTTTTCCATTATCGAATTATAGGCCACAATTTGCCCTTTCCAAAATGGTACGATATGTGGTTGTACCTGTTGTGGATCAAAAGAAACCCTACAAAAACTAGGAAATTCTGTCGCCGAAGACCGGCCACCCAAAAATATTCTACTTAACAGGAGATTCTGTCGCGTAGTCGATGTTGGTATCTGTCCATATGTGAAAGTCTTAAAATCCGGGCAGAATGCCGGCCACTCAAAAGAAAGAAACGTGCTATTTAAAAGGAGATTGTTTTATAGGGTTCTAAGGCCCATATCTTTTGATCCACAACAGAAATTAAGGGAAAAAATCTGATCGTATTTTCTAAACTAGAGTTGTTCCGAAATGCCACACAAAACTTAAAAAGTTGCTAACTGAGTTAAAGGGAAATAAAAATATTGACAATTGCGACTTTAGTCACACAAAGGTAATCCTGCCACCGACCAAAACTGACTAAAACATTGAAAATAGTTGAATTGAAATCACCGTCGCGGAATGCTGGACGAGTGAAGATATCGAGAATATGATATAGGTAGTCAACATGGATATTGAAATCCTCAGAGCTAAAAAGAAGACGCTACTGGCATCGAAAAGCAAAAAAAAAAAAAAAAAAATGGATGAATGAACCGGAAAATTAGGAACGTAGGATGTGCCAAAAATGAGGTCTAGTGAAGAGCAGATAAACGTTAATTGTCATCTGCCGTCTGGTAAGAAGAGCAAGCCGGGTCAATCCCATATTGAATGAGACTAACTCCAGCTTTAAGAAGTATTGCTAAGCTATGTTATGTTTCGTATGGTTTTGGCATCCTAAAAATGTGGTATACCCAGGCTATATGAAAAAGGAAGGAAACTTCAAGAAAGAAAACATGGCACCGGACCCACCATATTCCGCAAGGGTTGTTAAGAGAAATCTTGAACTCGAGGTGAAGACTAAAATTCCGAGACGTCTTGGAATGCTGGACGAGTGAAGAAGCAAACAAAGTGGTAGAAGAAGAGCTAGGGCCACAAAACATAGACATGATGAACCAAAAACAGACAACTGCAAAATGAAGAAGAAAATATGACATCTTATGCCAACGTAATCGGAAGCACTATAATAATAAGATCCTAGGATGCCTACAAGGAGTGAAATATCTGATGATTCACTTTGATTCGTCAATGAATATCAGAGTCTAGGGACGTGCGTGCTCAACACCTAGCAAGAAGGGGGTAATCACGGATCTTTGCCTACTAGGAGATTTTGATATGGGGGATATGCTTTGACTCTTTAAGATAGCGGAACGCTTAAACAGAAACCTCGGTTATGCAGTAACGGAACTTCACAGGTTCCACAAAAATAAACAACAAATACCACAGAACTCTAATATTCTGCGGATCTATACTCCAAGCCTGGACAATATTTTCCTATATTTGCAACCTCTTGCCCGATTAGAGGTTAAAAGCTGTTGTTTTTGCCCCGACATATTTTCCGAATATTGCAAAAATGCAAAATTTTTAATTTTACACAGATATTTAATAGTTGAAAATTGTAGGCGTTGACCTTGACCAAAACTGGAACTTCAAGCAAAATATGTAGCCTAACTCTAAACAATATAAAAGTAGGTAGATCCCCGAAGGTATTAACGTATAACTCCCACATCCCACGAAGATATACAGCAATAAAATCGGTATAGATATACCATCAAATTCTCTATTCTATGTCCATCAGGAGTAAATATATATGTCTTAGAATACAAACTTTGTCATTTTTCACACTAAAGTCTGGGTCCATTTAACCCGCTATATATTGACCGATCTTCAACAAAACAGTCATGCATATTCTTTGTCTAGATTCCCGTCTTCGAGTAATATTTCATGGTATTCGTGTCATTATTGTACCTTCTAGAGCGACTAGAAAATCAGACAAAAATAAAGTTTTTGTTCATATCATCCGCTAAATATTAACCGATCATTTCCAAAAACAATAGGGCCAGAAATTGTCCTAAATGCAAAATTTCTTGGCGATTGGTCCATAATTTTGGCCTGTAAGGTGTTTACAAATTATAATGGACAGACGGACGGACACTTATATCTACATCGTTACAGCTAGTCGAGATAGGTATACTAAACGGTGGGTCTAGGACCAATAATTTGCGACTTTACAAATCTTGGTGCCACACAAAGCTATAATACCCATACAATGTAGATGTGTAGGGTATAAAAACCCCTCTTTAGGTCTCCTATCCGTATTTGATACTGAACCTATTCGTCCTGATAATAGGATCAAATTGGATACTCAATTATATCAGTTCGCATTTGGGATAATTTTAGCTATATTTATTAGTTTTGTTGCTATTGTTATTCGTATACTTACATGTATATTTATTATTCTAGGAAGCGGATGTTTTGTATTAGCACCACCTTCGATAGCAATACCTAATATGGGTTTTGTTTTCTATGACCGTTTTCGCACTAACGCCGCACCAAACTGTGACTTTTTCGTCATGAAGAGGCACTTCTTGAATCTCCTGAGGATTTTCAGTGGCGTAAAAACGGCAATTTTGCTTATTTACGGTCCCATTCAATGTGAAATGGGCTTCATCGGACATGATAATTTTGTCTAAAAATTGCTCGTCATCTTCGGCCATTTCGATGACTCTTCGGGCCCATTCCAATCGACGAGGCTTGTCCGCAGGCAACATTCTTTGCGTCAATTGAATTTTGTACGGGAACAAATGCAAATCAATGCGAATAATCCGTTGTAAAGTGGACCGAGCCATGCCCAACTGCTGAGAACGGCGTTTTTGGGATGTTCTTGGGGACCTCTCAACACTGGCTCGTACGGCAGCGATATTCTCGGCCGATCGCCTTGGTCGACTTTTATATGGCCTCTTCGGATTAGAAAGAGCCTTACCAGTCGAAAATTTTTCGTATAAACGCTTAATGGTGTTCTTAGAAGGCGCACTTCTCACATTTTTTAATGTTTTAAAAGCACGTTGAGTTTTCACAATTGACTTCTTCTGTTGAATGTAAATTTCAACTATTTATATTAAATTAATGGGAATAATTTGTTTTCAAAAATATTTAAATACAAAAATTAAATAATAACTTCAGCTTTTAGTGTATTTCTTGTACAAACGAAATAATAATTTTATTTGTGATTTTTTTTTTTGAGATGTGATATAGGTTTTGGGAAATGACTCTTGATGATCGATTACTTATTTTTGATGACTCTTTTGATTACTTATTTTAGTGTGAAATGTAATTTACGAATGAGTAAGCTATCATTTCGTAAAATGAAATGAATGATAAATTCTTATGTGTAACATAACTATTTCTCTTTTGTAGATGTAGAAAAACGCACAACAAAATTGAGAATGATGCGTTTCTAGATAATAATGGTGTGACCAGAGGTGGATCCATCTTTGTCGTAATCTGATTGGGGAGCGACAAACAACATACATGAACAGGACCATTGAAAAATCTTACGGCATAGCAACAACCAAGAAAGCTAAATTTCCCACAAGCATAGGTATAAATACAACGCCGTGTAGAATAACAAAATAATTGAAAGCAACATATATTACAGGAAACTCCGCACCCACTTCTATCATTAATCGGGAAGATGATAGGACGTATTCAGGAAAATAGTTTCATGGGCTAAATTTGGCCGGGCCGAAGTGTGGATACCCTCCACCATAGGTATACTGACAGATACTTGCAATGAAAATATAGGAAACCTACCCAAAAGTGGGCCTATACCGATAATTCTACAAACCGATTTATGTAAACCATTCTGTACACCGAATACAAATTTCAGCAATTTTTAATGAGCATTTTTCCTAAAATCTGAAAACCCCAGATTGTAGATTATAAAGTTATATGAGACTATTCCTAAAGGGGGACCAATATTGATTACATAGTGTAGGAATTAGCAAATATTTGGGGTTACCATTACATGAGGGCTATGCCTAATTAGTGACCGATATATGTCAATTTCGAACCCAATATTTTAGTTTTGTATCTCAATTCTTTCCTTCAGGAGGTACAATTATGTGGGGAGATGCCTAAATGCATCGACCTGCATTTTCATTATCGTCAGGATCGAATGATTACAACCGATGACTAAATCGTCTTAGAATTCCTTAATTTGTAGGGTAAAACTGACTATTTCGACTAACGACTATCCCCTATACTTTTTTATCACGATATGTTTAGGAAGCGGAATGAATACAACCAATACTAAATCGTCTTAGAATTCCATAACTTGTAGGGTAAAACTGACTATTTCGAATAACGAATATCCCTTATACTATACAGTCAAAAGACTCTATGCAATTCCTTTAGACGCTAGGGTGGTTACAACAGACTGACTTTCTTAAATCGTCATAGAATTTTACGCTGATCAATAATATATACTTTATAGGGTCGGAAATGATTATTTCGATGAGTTACAAACGGAAGGAGGGTATAAAAACGGACCCCAATTCAAACGTTAAAGTCGTGACATCGTAGTCTCAAAATGAAATACCGGCCGGTCTAGACATTGTTACTCGACAAAGAAATATATATTATATTTCCCACATAAAAATGGGTTTAGTCTGCAACAAAGAAATCAGCGGAAATATCTGGGAATATTGAATGCTAATGTCGGCGAACTTCAACAAAAAAGGGGGGAAATTTTCATGGAAACGTAGCATACTGCTGCATCGAATAACAAGCTTTGAACCACAACCACACTTTACTGGACCAGCAGGAAACATTGGAAAGGAAATGTACATGGTCGATGTGATAGATGCAAATTTGGTTATTCGATTAGCAATATCGTAGGATAAGTAATGGAACGGCAAGCGAAGGTGGGAGGTGAGCTCGGAATATTTGAAGGACGTTTCCCGTAAAAAATCGTATATAACCTCCCGAAGTATGACGTCGTAAATGTTGTTTTTCAATCGATTCATACGCATGCATTGAATTTCATATTAAATACGCTTTGGCGGTTACGGCAGGAAATAATAGAAAGGACAAGTCGGCGTCCATATAATGAAGAATACGATTTCCGAAGTACTCCACATAAATAGACAAGCTCGAAGTAATGTTGTTTGAAATAAGATGGGGATTTGCCGACAAAGTTGAAGCCCATAACCGACATTGACTCTAAATCCCCTAAAGAGTGCAAGCGGCGCTAAATATAAATAACATAGAAATGACAGAATATAGCGCCACCCAGAGGAAAATAGCAATATTAAATAAGCAAGGACCCTAATAACTGTACAAATGTCAAGGAGGCGTTGTTTCTAAACAATTTAAGACGACAGCCCCTAAGAGAGGTTATAGCAGACCAATAACTTACTTAGGTGGAATAAAAAAACAATAATTAACGGAACGATAAATAGAATAGATTATTATGGCGATGCTTTGAGAAAGCTCTAAAGTAGAAACAACTTTGACTCACAACGTAATTTGTATTAAAATATTTGGAATATTTATGAAACTAGGCTTCACTCCTCTCCAAATGAACTACATCTGAAGATCCCTGACATTTTATAACCAACGTCGGCATTAGTATCATCACAAGAGGATAACACAAACTATGAATGGCAGGACATAACGCCACCTAGAGGAAAATTGCAACACAAAATAAACAATGATTCCAACCACAGCAACAATTATTTCTAAGCATCGATAGATGGCACAAACAATGATTAACGGAACTGAAACAAGGACTAATCGAGTATGATGTCTATGAAAATTACAATACTAAATATCCAAGGACACTCTAAAAAATGAAGAAGGGATTGCTTCAACGCGACGATAGATGATACAAAAAATGATTAACTAAACTTGAAAATAACTAATCGAGTACGATGGTTATGGATCCAAAGAGGAGTAGAAAGACCTAGAAGGCATTTTTTTAACAAACTTCGGCATCAGCATCCCCACATGAATATGATACAAAATAGGAATGACAGGATATAGCACCACCCAAAGGAAATTGACAAAACAAGGACCTCCAAGCGGTGCACAAAATTCAAGGGGGCATTTTATCTAGGCAACTACAGATGGCAGCCCCATTACCTACGAAAGGCTGCAGCAGACCAATTATCATGCTATCGCAATTAAAATGGCGATGCCTGCAGATGCTTTACAGGAGAAAAAAATGACTCAGAAGTAAATTCTTTCAAAATAGTTTATAAAACGATTATTACATCACTCTCCATAGCATTACATACGAAGCCGCTTGACAGCACCGGTATCAACACATGAGGATAACATAAAATACGAGCGCCACCTAGGGGAAAATGGCAACACTAAATGGGCCAGGATTCATAAAGGCGTTATTTCAATTATCGCCTTAACTGGAACAAAATATCAATGATATTGACGACTAATCGTTCCAAAAATTATTGACAGAGAAGGTATTTTTATCAAAACCATGAAAGTACTGTACAATCAATATTTTAATTCAAATTATGATGTGATGGTTGCGAATGTTTTTCAGAAAATTTTTAGAGCTGGATAATTTAATAATATATTGAAAAAATAATCATTTTTGGTATATGTGGAAATATTGGATATAACGACCAATGAATATGTTAATAAAAATGCAATGTACTGTACAATCATTCAAATGATTTAATTGAAATTGTGATGAATGGTTTTATGGTAACGGAAGTATGATGTTTCAGGAAATTATGAAAGTTTTAAATGGAGTCTGAGGAAGGTTCTGGAATAAGAAAGTGTAAAAATGTATTTTCGTATTTTCTCAATCTTCCTAATTCAGTTTTTTCTTTTTATGTTGTAAAATAATTTCCAAAAATCCTAATTCTCTGTTTGTGTATGTATTTTGAGAAAGAAAAACGAATGCCGTTGTCTGATTTCTTTGTAGTCAGAATGTAAGATAGAGATGTTATGCCATTGTGTATGTGTGTAACTGCTGGTCAATACACTACTTACCTGATGTCTACGTACACCTTTTTCGCCCAGTAGGGTACCGCCTTCTTCCTTCATATCGAAACTTCGTGATAGTTTTGTGGCCAACTCCTAATTTTTAATTTATTTTACAGAATTTTTGTTTTACGAATTTTCCAAATTGGTTTGGTTTTTGTGTTTCAATTTTATTGTTTGTTGAGAGGGAGAGCACACATTCAATTGTTTCGAATTTTGATATTTGGATTTTTGCAATGATTGATTGATTGAGAGAAATTGTTGAAAATTGTAAAAAAATAACAATATTGTAAAGTTGAGAGAGAGAATTTTTTAATTGCAAAAAATGTGAGTGTGTTTTTTCTAAAGAAAAAAAGGTTTTTATTTCTTTTGTTAAAGAAAAGTAAAAAACATAACAATTTGTTTTTGTTTTGAGGAGAAAAAAGCATTTTATATTTATATTTTTTTGGCGGTGTATATTTTTTTCTGTAAATTGTGGTGTGTTGAAAAATTCTTTAATTTTTTTTTGGGGGAAAGTAGAAGACAATCAGGAACACGCACACATACACAGAAAAAAAGTAAGAAAATTCCATTTCATATAGAGTCAATCATAAAATCATCAAACATCATTATCATCATCCTCATCATAAGCATTATAATAATTTAAGTGCAGTTTTAGACATAACACAAATTTGAACAAAAATGTGTGGTGTTCGTGATTTTGTTGTTGTTTTTTAAGAGAACAGTTTTAGGGAGGGTCTCTTGCGAAAATTCTCATAGATTATAGATATTATCCCTTTACAGTATTAAATTTATCCTAACATCAGCTCAGAAGTTAAAAATTGTGGGCGAAGTAAGTTTTGTCCTATACCTAGTGGTGATGAATTCGAGCGCACAAAAGTATTTTAGTGGCAACGTGCCACCTTGTAACAAGTAATTGTTCGAGTGGACTAGGCAGTGACGTCAATAATTTTTCTTCTCCATCTCCACAAAGCATATTACCACTGTACACGATTATAATTCAGCTAAGTAGATGACTTGTCTGCTGTGGTCTCTCCTAGGTGATGGGACCGCCATCTATGGTTTGTTAGAAACAACGTCCCAATGTATTTTGTGCAGTGGTTGGAGTCGTTGCTTTAATTATTCTTGGCATTTTTCTCTGGAGGCTCCTTTAGGGAGGTATGGCCCTTTTGCAAATATTCCAAAATCAATTTGAACTAATTTTGTTCCTACACTGGGGTTCTAAACTCGCACCCAGCGGTTTATGGTCTTGCACAATATCGATAATAATGTACGGTGTTTACAATTTTAAAATCATCATCATCCATGGTCCATGTTTATCATGAAGTAGTCTACTTTGGACTAGGTAGTGGTTACAACTTTTTGCTTTCCTCTAACTTCTCTTGGGAGCATAGGTCTCCCAGAAATCATCGCTATTTTACTCTATTAATCCTTGTGTTAGTTTTTTCCGCCATCAGTGTTTTTATTCAAGCTAAATATATGATTGGCTTGCTTTAGCCTGTTCTGGGTGGTGGTGCTGCCATCTATCGTTGTCTAGAAACAACGCCTCCATGAATTTTGTGCAGTGGTTGGAGTCCATGCTTCATTTAGTGTTGTCATTTTCCTCTGGATGACGTTGTCTCCTGTCATTCATAGTTTATGTTTTTCTCATGTGTAGATGCCCAGATTGATTATTAAAATGTCAAGCGCATCGAATACATTGCACTTGGAGGGGATGTCAGAATCTCTTTATAAATAGTTTCGCCATATTATTTCATTAGTCCTTGGTTAGTGTTGTTAATTATCATTCCAGATCAGTAGATTGGTCTGCTGTAGCCTGTCATATATGTACGATGATGCTGTCATCTATCGTTGTTTAGAAACCACGTCTCCATGAATTGTGTGCAGAGGTTTTAGTCCTTGTGCTACCCCCCTATTCCTAGTTTGTATAATTCTCATTTGTTTATGTTGATCCAAAGGTTAATAATTAGAATGTTAAGGGCTTTGGGCTTCGGAGCGAGTATATCAGCCTCATTTTCCAAATATTCGGAAAGCACTTTGAAAGATATTTCCTTTACAGATGGGATTTGATATCGGACCCATATATTTATCGGGCACACTATCGATGAATACATATGGTGTATATTATCTTGAAACGAGCGGAATCAACCGGCATGTTCCAAGATTCATCAAGGCCACATCCGCTAACCATGACCATTCACACTTAATTCGTTGGAAATAGCAGTGCATCTGATGTTTGCTGTTATTATGCTTAGTCGAGCGATCATATCTACAAAGGGTTTTTTTCGAGGGTTTTTGAAAATAGTTCTGCTTTTAATAGTGCGAGAATTTAAATCGGTTGAGGTTATGTACCCGACTTCTCGTTTACGTTGTGGTGAAACACTCAGAATTGACCTCAAGCCGAAGAGTCGCCATATGACAAGTATCGCCGAAGAAATTAAAGAGAATTTGCTTTGAAGTGCTCCGTTCACGAACAAATTTCATTGTATTTGGTTCCGAGCTCCAGATGCTTCAATTGAGATGCTTATTGACGTATCTACCGAAGTGGAAATGGGTTTAATCAGTTTTACATTGTAGTGCACTTCAAAGGCCCAATCAGGTAAGGTACGACGTTATTGACGATGGGTCGGCTTGAGTTTGTGTATACGGTGTAATGACGAGAGAGAAAGAACGCACAAAAAACTTACTTATATTACCCGATATGTCCACACAATTAGGACCTTCGGTAAAACAATGAAAACAATTTGTTACAACTGCCTCTGCGCTCATATTAAATATCCTTTGGCGTGAACTAGTTTGTATTACTTAAAATTTATTTTTCTCGTTGTTTCCTACTTTGTTAAGCCTTTGTCTTCTGATTTTTCACTTTGAATGACACACTTGCCCAAATGTTGCTAGTTCTCATGTTCGTCATTCATCAGGCAACCAAGAGAGTCAGCAATCTTTAAAAGAACTGGCAATCAAAAGTGATAGTGTGTACGCCGCTTAAGTGTTCGTTCGTTTTTATGGCCTCCTTTTTATTTACATGAAATTTCCAGTGGCTAGTTCATTAGTTCCTTTCATTGAATCATTCAATTGAACCAGGTCTTACGTATACTCTAGGCCTATCGATGAGGTCACCCAGGGAGACCAGCTGGATTTCAGTAGCCACTCAAGTTTGCTGTCTTAATCCATTATTGTGAATTGACTTCCATTATGAAAACGTAAACAATGTTCAAATTTTTAACATTAGACTTGAGAAAAAAACAGCTATTTTCCGATATCGATTGCTAGCTTGGTGAACTTATTAATAGATCTTGCGTATACTAAACAACACTAATGTGATTACTCCCATCTGCGTATGATTGGATTTATTCACTTTTCTCTGATGAATTGAGAATAGTTTCCGCGTTGAACTTAATCTTCATTGTTTTAATGGGCCGCATAATACAATACCGATGTACTCAATTCGTTGTATATAGATCCAGATATTGATTCTTAGCCAATTCATTATGATTATATCACTGAAACAATCAGATCAGCGAAGGTAATTGATGCAACCAGATATTTGAGAAACACAGAGCTGTATCTAAAACATGCTATTACAATTGATGAACGTTGTTTTGAGAGTTTTAATTCTTCACAGGTTGTACCGTTTCTTCACAGGTTGTACCGTTTGTGGCTAATCACGAAGATTGGGAAGAAATCCTAAATATTTTCGAAAACCAGCCATCTACCAGCTATCTACTGAAGCCACTATGGATGACATTTCCCATGTCGATGAATATGCAATAGAGAATCTCAATCCTGGTGGACAACATACAATGCTTGAATGTAGAGCTGTGAAAATGTACCTCATCATCGAGTTGTAATGGCTCCAGGCGAACGTCGTCCAGTAGACATGATAATAGATACAGATTCTGAAGAGTTGACCCTTGTTTCTATTTATTGCAGAAAAAACGTTTCTGTACGGAAACTTATTCGAAAAATGAAGTCTTATTTATTCAACACGATGACAGCTAACGCATCCTCAAAGGTATAAGAACATCACCAGCTCACTGAGAAGGAGAAAAAAGAAAGCCTTTGCCATGATCAGACAATTCGGTCTTCCAAAGTTTTTTATAACGTTATCTGCAGACGAAACCTAATGGGTAGAACTTTTAGTTATTCTGCGTAAAATTG